TCGGATTTGGAGTGTAAGGTTTAGGAAGTCGAGGCAAGGTTTAGCAAGTTAAGGCGTTAAGGGGCATGTCAAACGAACCCCGCACTTGCACCCTTAACCATGACCTGTTTTGAACCCGTACGAGCAGTAGTTGGAGTGGGGCAGTGTGAAGAAATCCCAAACCAACCCAACCCAATCCTATCCAAACAATACCAACGCCGCACAAGTACTAACTCAAAACTCCACAGCCTTGAGGGTTTGCACTACCTATTCTACTATATAGCTTAACATTTGCCAATCCCAACCATACACCGGTTTTATTGCTTCACTGCTTAACACTTCATTGACAGTTTGCCAGCTGGGTGTGCAAAACGTCGAAATTCGGAGACGACGACCTAAACCATGAAACAATAAGGTCTCTTTTGTAGAAGGCCCTTTCCGCCTATTGTTTTTCGGGTTTAGGGATTAAGGCTCAGGATGCGGAGAACTATCGGTAGTGCCTATCGGTTTAATGCAATGCCCCATGGACCATCAGCCGACAATTCCACCCTGAAACCTTAGTTGCCTCATCTGTTTCAAACGGTTGCTGCTGTTCAGCGGGGAACTGTCTACAAGGTCCGTTCCACAACACAGGTTCAACCCCAAACCCCAAGTCAAAAGCCTTCGGGGATACACGAGACGCAAGAGGGTAGCAACGACAAAGGCTGCAACTTGGGCATCCAAATCTCCAAAGGCCCCGTCGCTCGTCGGCTGTTTCGAGGCTTACAGACAGTTTCATGGTTTTGTTTTAATGCATTGGGACTTACAGCTTCAGGGTTTGGGGTTTTGGCTTTACGGCATCCAACGACGTTCGTATGTCACCGACTCCCAACAACCTACCCCTACACCCTGTGCTCCAAGCACTGCAGGGGCAGTAACAGTACAAGCACTTTCTAGTTACATAGCGACGAAAACGTGACATATTTCGACTTACTACTTGCTGCGATCCTCATATATACAAGGTTCCCAGCCGCTCGGCCGGTCAATGCTACACCCCTGCATCCTAGCACGAATTCTGCGCCCCTGAAACTCGGCTACGCACCCCAAAACGGATTGCTATCTGCCACGGAAAGCCTAATACCCCTTGATTCGATATTGTGAGTTAGATCTTATGGAGGGTCTCTAAAGAAGCTGTACAACCAAATTAAGTATACCGCCAGAAGTATAAACACCACATGCGTATGTATGAATAGACGACCGCTAAAACGTGCTTATGTACGTTTCAAACAATCATTGAAGGCTCCTGGGCTCTCCGGGTAACTAAGGGTGCCACTTCCCGCATTGCTCGTCGGAGTCCCCTGCCAAGGCTGCGAGCTGAAAGGTTGCCAGAGTTGGTGGACTTTTTGGGTTTTTAGGGTTTTAAGGGTTTATGGACTTTTTGGGGAAGGGTTTTAGGGTTTAGAGGTTCGGGGGTTTAGGGTTTGGGTGGGGTTTAGGTCCATGTAGGGACCTGACTTAGCAATCTTGGTTCCCAACTCCTGAACTGCTGCTGCTAGGATCCGCGTTCAAGTCTTTTGGTGTGAATAGGGATATCTTCATGAGATCTCCACTTGCTTGAACCTGGTCGTTATGGCCTCCTGTGCGGGGGCTCAGGCTGGCCGGGACATTCCAATGCGTTCATGTTGGGGTATAGTACAGTAGGTGTGTTTACTTTGAAGACTCGGACTCCGCCCTGCCCCCTCATAGTCCAAACATCATCCCGAAAGCTTAAGCTCGGCATGAGCCTCAAACCTGCCCAAAGACCGCTGAACTTGTTGGTTGCCAAGTCCCGTAAAATCAATTTAAGGATCCAGCTGCAGGTCCGGGGATTCCATATTCAAGAGCCGAAAAAACCGTCTTATCTCTGTAAGACCACATAAAATCAAGCAGCCTCTTCGTCCATGGTGGCAGCCCGCACCCGCCCTAGATGCTGCCCCAAGGGAGAGGACGGAACAGAGCCTAAAGCTGCGGTTAGGGTGTACATGTAGGCTTTACGATCAACGGCTGGTAAACTTGTCATGCTGCCAGAATATACTCTGCTGCTGTGAGCAGACCAAAATCCTAAATCATTAATCCTCAGCGCCCCCCAGAAACTGGAAAACGAGCGTTCTGGGCATACTCAACGATTCTGGTGCTTTTGTGAAGCTCCACCCGTTTCGACGGCTCCGTTTAGCGGATCCAGCTAGATTTAGGGATCTTCCCAAATGTAACCTCCCTTTCCCTCCTCCCACACCAAAATCGCTGCCGGGCAGGGGTGCCCGGCACCATTTTCATGGGCACATGGAGGATGCTGACCTTGCACAGCGTGGCATCCGTTTGCTCGCCCGAGCCCCACCTGCGGGTTTCACAAAACCAGGGCAACTACGGGGTCGCCATGACAAGGACTCGATTATTACTAACGCCTATACCAGGACTTCTTATTCTTATCTTCCGAACCCACCGCCTTTCTCCCGAAATCATTGAAAGCCTCCTTAAGCCTCGACTTCCTCGTGCTGCGAGGTCCCCCAACACGTCCGGCAGTCCTGAGAGTTATCGGCAAAGGAGATTGGTCACCTGAGTCGATTCATCTATCAAACAACACTTTAAACTTTAACTTACCAGCTTTCAAGAAACTCGCATATATCCCCGTTATCCCCTAAAGGATACGACAATGCCCAAAATCAGAGGGCTAGCAACTTTAGGGCAGGGCAGGGCAGGGCAGGGCAGGGCAGGGGCAGGGCAGGGCAGGGCAGAGCAGGGCAAAACAGGGCAGGGCTAGGGCAGGGCAGGCGTTTTGGTAGGGGGCAGAGCAGCAGCAGGGCGTGGGTATCAGTGCAAGGCAACAGGCATCCCCACGTATTATAGGGCCTATGGGGATGGGAATCGCTTACTAAGCTCTGACAGTGGCATATAGCCGTGAATGCCAGGTCCCGGTAGTTTATAGGAACCCCGAACCTTACTAAACCCTCAACCCCTAAACCCTAAACGTGCTTCTCGATAGTTTCTTCTTAGCAAGTCTGGTCTTAGTCAGTTTGCAGTGCTGTTGCTCGTTCGTTGGCCGGGCCGCCTACGCAGCAGATACACCTCGCATGAGTTTGTTGTCCTCTGCGGAACCATTGCATGAGACCTGGTAACCCGAAGAAAAGCAAAAAGAGGGAGGACTGGAAAAAAGGCTGAACAAGAACGGGTCGAAGGTGCATGGAGCCTTTGAGCTTCGGGAGTCAATCCTTGATGTTGAAGGCTGCTCAGGGGTAGCGGTTGCAGGAAGGACCGTGTTCGCTAGATGCGCCGTTTTGTGCCCGACCGAACATTTCCATTTCCTAACACCTTCTGGGGGCCTGCAGGAACTTGCATATCGATCGTCGTTTAGCCAACGCTACGTAGCACAGCTCCAGCAGTTGCATCGGGAACTTTGGATACTTTTGACTCTCCCCCGTGCTCTAACACGGGACCAATACGGCCCTGGCGAGAGGTCGTCGCAGCACGCGCCACAGGGCGGCTGTCCAGAGGAACTGAGAAGTCTCATCAAAGAAGAGGCGAGTCTTGCTGCTTCCACGAAGCTGGTGCTGTTCCTGGGAGGCCTTAGACTCTGAAGCATAGCCAGCGCCTCCGAATTTTGAAGGCCTTTCTGCCGGCAGGCGATGTACGCCGTCTTCATTGGCCGGCAAGGTGCGGGGCAAGGGACGCTTCTGCAAAAGCCCACTTCTAGCTCCGAGGTGACCAAGCAGATGCAAGCCCAGGCTTGGACTTTCTCTCGTTGAAAGTTTCATCCTGTCGGCTAGCAGTCAAAGCCCATTAGAGGTGGGCAGTTCTAAGGTGGGTTCGTTTCCATCGTACTTCCAGAAGGACTCCAGCCCATAGCAGTGCTCAGCTAAATTGGCATACCTTCGGAGCTAGACTTTACAGGGGTTGGGCCAATGGAAAAGCAGCCAGTCGCAAAAAGCCGTTCGCCGTTCCAGGGACTGGTGCCCGGGCCACGGCAGGCTGGTGCACGTGACAACTTGCCGGACAGCCGAAATCAGCTGCAAATTCCGTCAATGAATTTTTTTCGGGACAATCCGGGCAACCCAAATTCCCTCTAGGCCCTCTAGCGTCAAGCGTTCAAGCGTAATGCCGTGTCCCGAAACTCTAGGCATAGAAACAGCCAGGATGAGGACGGGGCTGGAAAGCTGAGGGCAGCCTTCGGCTGTCACCCGATTCTTTTGAAAACATTGCCCAGTGCCCACAGCTTTCCGGATGCTGTAGGCCCCTCCTGCACCAAGGTCTAGGCAAGAATCGCCAAGCTCGAACCTCCCTCTTCTGGAAGAACTGCGCTGGGTGCTTCATGCGGTTGAAGAGACTTGCAAGAGCTGGCACTGACAAACTCTGGGGCCCTCCGAGCTACGCTGGACGTCTTCAGATTCTAGGGGTTCGGCCCGCGATCCAGCTGAGTTTAGCACCCCCTGCTGCCTGATCCGCCGAGATTCCCAACAACCGTCCAAGGGGTCTCAGAGGGATTTGATGCCGCACACGAAAAGTGCTCAGCAATCCCAAGACAGTGATATGTTCGTAAAGGAACGATCCAAACGCTGTGCTGAACTTCTCGGACAATCTGAGTGCATGTTTGCTGGCATGCCCGTGTTGCGCGCAGAAACTGGAATTCTGGCCAGCGACAAAACACTAGAAAACAGCAGAAAACATACCCCGATGTGCTTCAACCACACATGTAAGGGATGATTTTTCTCGTGGTTCTGCTTGCAATTATGTATTGCACATCCGTGTCGCAGCCTGCATCTTTACCCAAGTGCCCTACACTGGAAACGATGAACTTCGCCTTTCTCGCTTGATCAGGCCGCGAGGGAACGGCAATCATGCACATTCTCAAGGCCGGAATAATGTCTGCTGCCTCCAGAGTTGCTGCGGCAACAGCCAGGGGTAAAAACAAGAGACCGCGATGCATGGCACGAAAACGAAATTATGTAAATGATGTATCCTCCAGAAGCTGTCTTTTTGTGCGGCGGTTCCTTGAAACAATTCCGAGCCACGCCAAGAGGTGCGAAGAGTTGAAGTTGGCCAAGTTTGGAAACACCTGCAAAGCAGTCAGGTTCGACTTTGGAAGTCTGACATCTGGCAAATAACAACAACAGAAGCAGTTTTCGTCTCAGGATTAGCTGTAGCAACAGCAGCAAGAACAGCAGCAGTTGTTTCACTGGTATTTTGTGTTGTAGTGGTTGCAGTACTTGTTGTAGTAGCAGGAGTTGTAGCGGAAGCAGCAGAAATGACAATAGTCCTGGCGGCCGTGGTGAGCTGTAGCTGCAGCTGTAGTTGTAATTGTAGCACTAGTTGCAATAGCACTAGAAATAGTAATGGTAATAATCATAGGAATAGTAAGTGCAAGAGTACGTGTAACAGTTATACTAACAATAGACAATAATAATAGTGGTAGTAGCAGTAGTAGTAGCAGTAATTGTAGAAATTCTTGTAATCGTACTAAGAAGAGTAGTGGTACTAGTAGCACTAGAAAAGGAAGGAGAGGAATCAGCATTAGTAGTTGTAGTAGCAGTCTTCGCC